TTGTGGATACTGACAGCCAGCAAAGTGACATCAGGATATCTATGCCATGGTTTTCTTTCCAACTCCTTCTTCATGAGGCTCACAGGTGATATACAGAGCCACCTCCCTCACCACAAACTACATGAGCCTTCAAGGGATACAGAGAACTCTTCCGCATGAACTGTAGGTAGCCTCCCATTCTAAGGTTCGATGCCCTCAGCACCCCAGTGAGTATCTCTCCCTCCACATACAGGTTAAGTTGGCTGGGATGGGTCACAGTTTGGCCTTGTTCCATCCAAGCCATGGCCACGACTGTCTTGGGGCCACAGAGAATCTTGGTTTTAGACTCAGGATCTTTGGAGCAGAAATCTCTCAGCAGACCTCATTCATTTCTCTCAACCCTCCCAATCCCCAATAAAAACTACATGGCTGAGACATGATGGAAGGCAAGGATCAGCCAGATGAAAGGGGAACATGAGATGTAGGTATCAGCAAAGGCAGAGACCAACACGGAGATGAAGATAGAGAGCTAGAGATGAGATCAGCAGATCTGAGACAGGCCTGGCATCAGTGCAGAGAGAATGAGTGCTGGACAGATCTCTGCCTCCCCGTCCCCTCTCTGCCCAACCCCCAATTTACCAAGCTTCTCCTCTGCAAGGAAAGCTGTTGTCTTCTTTGGAAGTCTATGAACAGGTGGCATCCAGGGCCAGTGCTCTGTCTAAGGAAGGTTGTTTCTGAGTTCCTCCTCTCTCTCTTCCTTTCCTATTCAGCACTGGGGTGAATGGCAGGCTTTTCTCACTGAGCTCTCTGCTCAGCGTTTCCCAGGAAGCATTGTATTAACAGCAAAACAAATATTAAGGTACAAAAACATACATTTATCAAGCAAATAGTCAAAGGAACTTCTAAAGTGTAAAATCATCTAATGTTTGAAATAAAAATACAACTTTTAATCCCATACACTTCTCTCCAGTTGAATAATGGTTTTCTTACTTCTCACAAAGTTATGGTAATGTAGTACTGAGTTCATATGCTATGATGTATGTTTTTCAAAAATTCCTGTTGTGTTACTTAAGTAACTTTTAAATTTCCACAGTTTTAGCTGTATAATAAACTTCTTTCTTGGAAGGTTAAGGCCTGGTGTTTGTGTTGGTTCTTCCATGCTCTTAATCATACAAAGACAGAAGAAGCAGAACTAGAGTCATAAATCTAGCATAATATCTCTCAATCTTAGTAGCGCAGAGCCAGTGAGACAGACCCAGCCTCTTTCAAACTGAACACATGCGCATCTATGTTACATATACATTTTTAAGACTTTCCATCTTGATATAGGAGCTCAAACATGCATACTATAATATAGAAAGGAAAACTATACAGTATAAGAAAGACACCAAAGAATTTTTCTTTACAAAAAAGTATGGGAATGTTATGTCATGTCTGATGCATCAATTATTCACCTATTTTTCATTATTTTGAAAAAATGACTGTACTTTAAACAAGACATGTAAACACTACCTTAAATTGAATCACAAAAATTCCTTTCCAGAATATTTCACACTCCACATAGATATAACTCAAACTGCATAAGAAGAACTCTTCAGCATTGTGCCCAGAAATACATAAAACTGGATCTGTATTCTCAGACCCACTCATTAAGATGGAGACACATCATGGTGGTTTCGTGAGTGTAAACTGAGGGAAGCCCTGAAACACCAGGGTGACTAGTATATACACGTCCTGCATAGGTGGGGCAGCAAGGAGGAGCTGCGGAGGAACCCAGGTGTTATGCTTGATACATTGTGTCAACTTGGGGAGTCTAGAGTGCTAAGCAGCAGTCCTATATCTTGGGATGAGAAGGGCTTGCCCTTACTCTCTGGGATGTTGTTCATTGTGTCAATTTGAGAAGTTTAGAATGTTAACTTTGTGACTCAGCAGGGAGCCAGGGTGCTTACTTTGTACTCATCCTGAGCCTGTGCAAGAGGAGGACATGGAGATTATGTGAGTGCTACACATCCCCTGGGTGGGGGCAGGCTGCTTAAAATATAAGGGAGAAAAGAGGCTTGCTCCTCTCTGCCACTCCTCCCTTTTGCTCTTGTTGCTTTGCTGTTCTGCCACCATTAACTGTTGCCCTCTGCCCTGTGCCACTCTGGCTTGGAGCCATCCAAGTATGGACTGAAACCTTGACAAACTATAAGCTAAATAAATCTTTCCCTCTTTCATTTTCGGTGTTGGGTATTTTGTTTCAGCGATGAGAGAAAAGTAACCAAGACACCAGGTTAAAAGCTGTCCCTGTACCCTTCAGGTGACTTGCAAAGGCAAACACCCACACAGCAATGGAGCTAAGGCATTGCTTATTAGCCTAATGCGGGCTAAGGAGGCTCAGAGTAATGAACAACACAAGTCAGCACTCGAGCTGAAGACATACATGTGAGGCCCAGCACATGCTCTTCCACAAATATACTGAAGTGATTGGGAGAAAAGTTGGCTGTCTTCAGAAAGATAGAAACACTGGCACTATGGATTCTAGCTATGATACACGGGCACACGATTTATCTTCAAACTGGCAGACACAAGTGTTTCTTCTGAACAATATTGAAACCAGGCGTGGTGACAAATACAAGTACTCCCAGCATTCCAGGAGGCTGAAAGCTGGAGAATCCGGGGAGTTCTGGGTCAGCTTGGGCTACACAGTGAGCTCTGGGCCAGCCTGACCCACCCAGTGAGAATGTGTCTCAAAGCAACTAAGGAATGTGGTGCAATTCTGATTGCCTTAGTTGTCCACACAGTAAACCCTAGAGAAGTTACCAAGGCACAAATGAGGATATTTGCAAAGTGTCTGTATAGTGAAACTTTCTCCATGTTCTTTCTTACCCTTGAAGCTTTCATAGTTTCTGCCAAACTTATACAAATACACCAGCACTACCACACTCAATGAGACAGAAAGGGAGATTACCCAGAAAAACAAGACCGGAATCAATCACCCAAATAATTTTCATGCAGCCTTCAAAAACCACACAAACGAAGTAAAACAGACCCTGTCCAATTAACCTGACCATAAATGTCCCTAAAGGAGGCTACACAATGCCATAGAAATCCAAGCTCCCTATGACCACAAGGAGGTGGGCTAAGGGCCACTTGACACAGATATCAGCTCTGCAAGCATCAATAGACCTTGGGTTGACAGCCCAGTGCTGGTGATGCTTTGGAATTCACTGTGTAACACTGTTTTCTCAAGAATTACTAGGAAGATGCCAACAGCAATTCAGAACCTGACTCTTAATATACCTTTCCACTAACGAGCCAACCACATGAGCCAGGAGACATTATATAACACACAAACAATATACATCACCAGGGAAAATGTAGCAAGTGGACCAAAATTTTTTTAAATTGATTTTTTTAAAAAAAAGAAGGAAAACAAATGAACAAATAGACATCCATTTACAAAATAGCATAAGAACAATACAAACAAGAACCAAAATCTTTAGAAGCCAAAATAATAGATATTCATGAAGCGCCTTTACAGAAAAAGAAACATTCAAGGTCCAGCTGGCATCTTTTTCCCAGTGTATTTTTTAATAATTTAAAGTGGCATCAGTTCAGGGATTTTTTCTTTAGGAAAATATTTTTGTTTTACTTTTTTCCAATTTTCATTTTTTTATAAGCACCTGCTTGCAGGAAGTAATGATTGCGTTCCTCATCAGGAGTTGGGCCACATGCCCAACACATCTTAATTTTTTTTTCACTTTGCCTGCCTTTCCCTCCTACTTTTTCTCTTGCTATTACCCTACTTTGCAAAAGATCTATCTCCCTCTGTCCTACTATCTTTCTTTCATTTTGTTGTTCATTTTTATTTTAGCTTTCTCATATAAGAGAAAAACTATATGACATTTAACCTTGCTCATTTGATTTATGTCACTTAACATTATGAGCCTAAGATGAACGCATTTTTATGCAAATCAGCCAAGATCCTGTTCTTTTTGACAGATATATATTATATATAATATTTTTTATCAATAAAGCTATTGTTAGACCAAGAGCCTACTTTCAGAATTCAGTGATTATGAATTGTGGTGCGTTAGATATAGGTATGCAAGTATAACTAGTATGTGACATATACAGTTTCCTCAATGACGTTACCCTTAAGAGGAATAGCTGGATCAGATGGAGTATTGTATTTTTAGTATTTTGGGTTTTCCACAGTGTTTCCTGAAGTGATTGCACTAGTTTAAATTTCCAACAATAATGTAAAATCTGCCTCCTCCTTCAAGCTTTACCACCACTTGTGACCTTTTGAATGCGTGATACTAGCCTTTCTTTCTAGAGAAGATGGAATGTCAGCGCCGTTTTAAGAAACAACAAAGATGAGAGACCCATCTCTGCATTTGCTGGTTACAACATCCACTGATACTTCCTGCTTGAGGATATTTCTGCTTCTTGCCAGCTCTTTATTATTCAGTGAATGAAACACATATAAATCACTGCTGCCACCTAACTTTTCATTTTCTTGGCCAGTACTCAGTGCTCTTGAAATAACCACTAACATCTTCATCAACACAAAGTTCCTATTTGGGAAAACACCAGCTCAGTGTATATGAATCATTTTTACAACTGTTTTTCTTCCAGGTCACAATATTGACTGTGAAAAGTTCTGTGTTTCAAAGGCAGCTGTATGGTAAACACTACAGGCCCACAAGCATTAAATATATTTTCCAGTATGTTAAGGTCCTGATTTGCTTCCTAAATTGACGCTGAAACAAAGGGCTGGACATCCTTCCCTGTGGCCTCAATGCTGTGCTCCAGGGCTTCCTGCCCACTGAAGGAGAGGTGGAGTGCTCTTCTTATTTTATTTATTTTATATTTGAGAAAGGGTGTCAGTATGTAGTCAAGGCAGGGTCAAATTTGCAATCAGGCCATAACCTCCCAAAGAGCTGAGATTACATATATGCCACCCGGTCCTGTGAAGGACCCTTTGTGAGATCATAGACAGTGGATGAGGAGAATCTTCTAGAACTGAAATTGAAGGAGAGAGAGAGAGAGCTGCGAAGGTGACAGGCTCTGGTGGCCACAATTTTGATCAGATTCTCTTCGTTTCTTTTCACCATCCAGCTCAGGCAGGTGAGACAGGAAACAGTGTGGGCGGCTTGGTGTGGGAGGCTTAAGCTGCACATCACACCCAGCTCAGGATCCCCATTTACTGCCCCTTCCCTTAGAGCCCATGACCTCAGAGACTAGGATGGGTCATAAAAATCAGGTGAGCTGAGATGACGAGAGACTATTTAGCCAGGATCCCAATCCAACCTCAAGTTAAGCATTTGGGACAGTCAATGACCTCATGGGTGGGCCATCTGTAAGGGACACTGCACAGGGCCTGAGGTTTTTGATCTTCCCCAAGGATGTGAACCAGTTCCTAGTGAAGATGTAGTCTACCTTAGGGACAAGTGAAGGATCACTGATCTCAGGGACCTGTCTAAGACCCTGTTTCCAGTCACTGGGCTCTAGGGTTCTAAAACGTCTCTAGAGACAGAGGGTTGGTCTAAATTTCCTCTCGAGAGAAGCCAATTGCAGACATTGTGACTCAAACCACTGCCGCACATAGCAGCAGAGTGGAGACAACTTTGTCCCAGGTAGGTAGCTGGCCTCCACTGTCCCCCTACCAGCTGCAGCTGCAGCCTCAGCAGTCAGCTCAGTAAAGCAGGTGAAACTGTGGCCTGTGTATGTGGCTCTGGGTCTCTGCCTGCAGAGCTCTCAGGACAGGGAGGTTTCCTGAGGTTCCCCTGCTGTCCTGACTGCTCCTGCCAATGGAGGTAGAGGTATGGGGGAGAAGAGGCACTCAAGGCATCTCACTGCTCTTCAGGATGGAATAAGGCTCCTGGGAAGGCCATGATCTGGGATTAGTGAGCTCAGAAGAGACACCCTGTCCTTCCCTGTCCTTCACTGTCAGCTGCCCCATCCTTGCCTGCCCTTTACGGGATCCAAAATGAATCATGAGACCTGTACAACTGAATATGCTTGGTTAGCTTTTCTTTCTCTTTCTTTTTTTTTTTTTTTCTGTCTTTCTGTCTTCCTTATTTCTTAAGACAGCAGCTCCTCCTGTACTTTAGGGCATTCTGGACCTCACTGCAGAGCCCAGATTTGCCTTAAAATACCAGCAATCTTCCCATCTGGGTTGAATGCTGGAATTGCAGGGATGACCCACCACACCTGGCAGTTTTTTGCTCTTTGTCGGTAGAGTGAGTTGACAACTATACACACACACAGCATGGATTCACAGGGTCAGTCAGGACAACTTGGGTGAATTCAAACTGCTGACCCACACGCAGGACAACTGGATGAAAGGAAGAGGCGCAGTGAGCACACACAGGGGGCCCTTGTCCGTGACACACTGTGTCGATCTGTGCATGTTTATGCTGTGGCCCATAGTGTTGTTCGTTTTCTACTTTGCACAAACCTGACCGGGGGTAAGGGAGAAAATATCTGGTCAGGTGCTTCTGAAGGCTTTGCTGGTAGCAGCCACCATTCTTGGATTTTTTTTTTTTTTTTTTTTTTTTTT